GACTGCCCTGTGAGAGTGGAGGTAATAGAAATCCTAAAATACACCAATGTCGGCAATCTTCCGCCGAATGAGTTCGAGATCTTGTACACGCGCGCAGGTGGCGTATGTGCTGGTGTGTATGTGTGTGTGTGTGTATATATGTGTATGTAAGTTACGTGTGTATGTACATACGTACGTAACACATACGGGCAGAGACGAAGACGGTCGCGCAAATGGGGTCAGGTCACGCGGCGCTTGCACGAAGAAGAAAAGGGTGACCATCATTTAGGCAACCCCTTCTCGCGCGAGCTGCGACGCGTCGGTCGTCGCATTCTGCCGACCGAACGCCGACAAGGCGTAAAGTCGGAGGGCACGAAATACGCCGGGTAGGTGGCGCGTACAGTCGTGCGATCCTCGTCGAGGGGCTTTACGTGGACCTTCGAAAATCCCGCGGCCGCATTCACGTCGATAAGCAAGCCCTGCGACAACGCGTCGTTTCTTTCTCTTTTCCACCTTCGCACCATCCGAATCGACAAGCGGAGTCGCGCGAAACGAAATTAAACGGTACATCGCACGTCGGCTTTAAGCTGCCCCGCTCTCTCCCTCCCTCCCCCCTCTCTCTCTCCCTCTCTCTCTTTCTCTCCATGGATGTGTATATTTCTTTTTTGCGCGTCTCACATTTGCGAGTGTGCGCACACACTCGGCGCGCGCGCGCGTCGAACGGCTAGTTATTCCGTTTTATTCATTGTTTGTTTACCCTGCCGAAATCGATGCCGACGGTCCCCCTATGGCGGCGGAGAGCCGCGTTAATAAGACTCGCCGCGCACGCGAACGGCGCTTTCCCGTCCCGAGCGGCCGAACAGCCGAAATTCCCGGCGGCCGAGGGGAACTGATCCGCGGCTAATCTGGGCCGTTTAGAAAATGGAAACGTTATCGTGTTTTCCACGCTTTTTTGTTGATACCGTCGTATACACTCGCGGCGACTGCGCGCGCGGCTCTATGACGGGGCAACGGCGAAATAATGCTGCCAGCCTCGGGGCGCGCGCGCGCGCGCCTCGATCTATAAATGCACACACGGGCAAGCCTGGCCGCGAACAAGAGGGAGAAATATCACGGTATACGAACTGGCATTTATTCCCCGGTCTCTGTCGAACCGAAAGAGCGAGAGAGAGAGAGAGAGAGAGAGGGGGGGGGAGGGAGGAAGAGGGAGCAAAGAGAGAAAGAGAAAAAAAAAACCGGTCGCTCTCTCGCGTGTATCGCGCGCATTTAATCTTTCGTACGCGCTAATCGCGTCGATACATCGCGATCGCGCGCATACTCCCTCGTTAACTCTCCCGCGTATCCGCGAACGAGCGTAATGAAATTTCGCCGATTTCTGTCGCGCTCTCAACGACGCCACGCGCGCCTGCGGCTCGGCCGTTTCGCCGAACAATCGCTGATTCAATATGACCGGCGACGAGCGCAGGTGCGAGAACGAGCGTTTATATCGAATCCGAGTACGCAGGACGGTTTGCGCTCCGGCCGATCGTAAATGTCGCGATCATCCCGCGGACAAAGGCAGCCGCCGCATCCACAGACTCAGCATGTCAGGCGGAGCCCTTCGATCGATTAGCTGTGTGGTCCAACAGTTGTAAATCGACTGTTTGCGGTCGCCCTACGCGCGGAATGCAATCGAGGGCCTTAACGCGGCGATTAATCGGCTTATGACTCGCGCGGCTAATCGGAGCCCGGGGCGAATCTTCATTGTCCGGCCGAGCCGGCGATTTCGCGGGGAATTTGTCTTACGCGACCCGGGACGGTTCTTCGGATTATACGGCCGGTGCAAATTGTCACGTACGGCGCAACTCGAGCGCGTTTGCGCGGCGGAGGGAGAAGGAGGACGTGACCCTCCTCGCGATAAACGTCGCGATGTTTTGCACGGCTACGTCGCGGTAAACGCGCACGGGCGTTTATCATGAAAATATTCAGTCTCCCGGCGGTGCGTGAAAATAATGGAATGCTTGAAAATGTATTTACTTATGGCGCGGCACGCGAATGTAAACGAGCTTTTTCAATCGGCGAACACTGCGCCGTCCTTGGTCGAGTTAAACCAACGAGATCGGACTTTCGCACTTCGATGCTGCATGATCGTCCGAATTAGCAACGCGATGAATGCGATCGAATGACGTAATGCGCGCGTTAACGCTCCACGGATCCAACGCCAATAATTTAGGACGGAGAGTATCACTGACATTGCTTCTCTTCCTCTCTCCTTCTCTCCTCCCCGCTTTCTCTCTCTCTCTCTCTCCCTGTACGCTTCCAATCTTCGCCGAATAATTTATTAGCGGACGGCTATAGCCCGAGGCACGACCCGGCGATCACGTTCGTCATCGATAACTATTTTCGGACGTATCCGAGCAGTGAAAATTTAAACCAATTAAGCCGTAAGGACGCTCGATACAAAATTCCTGCGCGGGCGATTTTTATCAGGCTCGCATAGCATAGGTGCAACGTCGATAATACTTCGCATATTTATCGTGGAAGTGACTCGGCATAGGGAATATTATCCGTTAATCGATGAAGATCCGTCCTCGTGGATCCTCCACGTGTAAAAGTCCAAGTGCCGGGAGAAACTCGCTCCCTCCTCTCCTCGCTTCTTCCCCCCCTCTCTCTCTCTGTCTCTCTCTCTCTCTCTCTCTACGCATCACGAGTGCAGCGTGCATTAGGAGCATTTCGTCGTTGCGATCGATATAGCATGCATGTTGCAGGTCCGACAAACAAGCGATTTATAATATATACATAGCGGGAGACCGTTCGACGGCTACGCTCGCGAGACCGCGTGCGTCGCCGACGACAATGGTCGACGTGCATCCTCCGAAAATGTGTGCACCGTCCTTATTTCACGCACATTTCCAGGTACCGTTCGTCGACGATATGATCGATGATGCGGTCTGACGTTCGATCCGGCAGTCCACATGGATAGAGTGAATCCACGAAAAGCTCCCCTTCCAATGTGCTTTCACGTACGATTCCTTCTACTCGAGTGTCAAGCCAGCTTTCCCACACGACAGAGTCGTGGTCAAACGAAATCTCTCGAACCGAGAACGGTGCTCTCGCCGATGGTTCTGTTCTCGTTAACGTGACGATTATACGGAAATCACGAGTGCCGCGCGCGGAGGTCGCGTATGGCTCGCAATAATAGCTCGACCAGTGGAATAAGATGTCGGGAACGGGATGAATTATCGGCGGCATTTGGGAAAATAGCGACTACTGTTCAGTCTCTCCCGCATTGGTATGATCTAAATATAAGCGGGTGAATTTTTAGAAAGTACCCGTTGCTTCCCCCAGCGCGAAATCGCGGATTTATCGGTCGAGTTTAGCCGCACGGAATCTCACCGGTCAAGACTCGGGATATTTAAGGGGAGAACAAAATTTCCTCTCGCGCGCCTTGCAATTTTCGAACAACTTTGGGATATTTGTCCGTCCGTCCGTCCGTCCATCTGCATGGAGCCGCGTCTTTTGTTAAACGCTTTTGCGTAATTCTACGTTTAAAAACACTTTATTCGTCGAGCTTTCGGGAATTCCGTGACTCATCTCAGGAATATGTCGTCGGAATGACTTTCCGTGAGCTCGCCGGTTTAGTTCGCTCGCAGCGCTACCGTCACAAAAGAGTCGACTATTAATTCTACAAACTAGCGCGCGTGGAAAATAAATCAGCGCCAGATGGGATCGCGAACTGCGGAGTCGCGCAACCGATCATTTCGACAATGCGACAAATTCTCTTCTCTGCTCCTTTTTCTTTTCTCCTTTCTTCTCTATTTTTCTTTTTAATAGCGTGGTTCGACAGATTCCTTTCACCGGTCGAATTTCAGGATCTACTACGCAATAGAAGTAGATTAAATGGCCCGTGATCCACGCGAATGAATAGCCATTGTGACGCTAAAGAGAAATTTGAGTCGCCAATTTGCATCGCGGTGAAACTGTATCGGCAGCGAAAAAAGTCCCGCGGAGCTGCGTTTATAGCGTCGCTCTACCGCGCGATCGTTCTTAATTGAACCCGATCGAACGTTTATTAATGTTCGTTTGAAATTCCGTGGGAACTTTATGTTATCGCCGATGGTCTGCCGGCACGTTCTCGGGACGCGCCGGCTCGCGTTTCAACCTTCTCGCGTTTACTTTGTCGAATGTTTCAATTGTCTATTTACGTGCGATTCATTTATTATATATCGTGGACAAAGGTCAGCTCCGATGCGGCGGGATGCGCTCGGAGAGCGTATGTCCCGCGCACAGTTTCGTCAGGAAGAGGAGAAAGAAAGAGAAGGAGAGAGAGTGAGAGTGTGAGAGAGAGAGAGAGAGAAAGAGAGAGAGAGAGAGAGAGAGAGAGAGACAGAGAGAAAAACGAAAAAAGAGAGAAACGTGTCTTCCCCTCGGACGTGACGAATCTGCATTTCTCCGCGCGAGTGCGGCACCCCTTGCATCAATCTCCCGGCAAGACTGGGATGGCAACTCGCGTAGAATTACGGCAAAATCGCGACCATCGTTCCATGTGGAGAGAGCTCAGCTACCAGTCGGCCGACATGGAGGGGGATGCATCAGTGCATAGCAGCATGCTGCGGCGCGATGCGACGCGAAACGCGGAAGGAAGCGAAAAGATCGCGGAAGTGCGCGCTTGTCCGCGCTGTTACGCGTCGATGTATACACACACACATGTCTGCAATACACAAACGCGGCCTCCTCTCGTCCTCCTTTTCTCTCGTCGGTGCGCGCGAGAGACGACAAAACCGAACATACACATACACACACACACTCTCTCTCTCTCTCTCTCTCTCTCTCTCTTTCTCTCTCATTCACATGGTACAGGCGCGCGGCGCTTTTCACACACGCAGACACACATACGCGTACCGATCGCGATGCGCGCGGCACACACAGGCATAGGGAAACACACACACGTACACGTACATCGACATAATCAGCGTGCAGCAAAGCGCACAAGCGAGCCAAGAAGCTGCAAGCGAGAGTGATAGAGTGTGGAGTTGGTATACCGGCGCGGGACTGACCGTCGTGGAGCGGATCGATCGTGTGGATCATAAGCTGCAGCAGCCCGTGGCGGAACTTGGCGTGGCTCTCCCGCGTTGAGTGAGAAGACGGGCCCCCTCCGTGGGCACCCTGCTCGCAACCCTGTCCGGTACCGGTGCCGCCGGCACCGCTGCTGCTGCCGCCCCTGCTGCTGCATCCGGCTTCCCCGGGCACCGGTATGCCGCTGCTTCCGCACGCACCCGATACGCCACCCACGCTCGTCTCGCTACTGTTGGTCGCGTTCGGATGCTGCTGGAACATACACAGACGCCATTGCGGCGCTCAATGGACGCTTCACGATTCATTTTCTCCTCGTCCCTCCTTCATCGTTAAACTCTGCTATTGTGTGGATGGGTAGGTATGTGTGTGTGTGTGTGTGTGTGTGTGGAGTCCGTCACGCGTGTCGCGTGAAAAGTCGGCAGAGCAGCTGGTGATGTGCTTTCGCCGAAAGCGGGAACGACGGAACTTTTCCGTTTCGGGAGAGTCCACAAATGCTGGGGGGGAGCGGGGGAGGGTGGCAATTAGCCTTCCCTCCTCGCCGACGTACGAAGGACAACGCGCATCGTCGTCCGTCACGCGCGGCGCGGCGTCCCGCCGATTGATTTTTGCGTCGTCCTCGCTATCTCGTCCGGCGGTGTTACGCGCGACACGCGTTTGCGCTATTGTTACGCGCGCGCGGCACGCGAGTAACTCGATCGCGGCTAATTCGGGACGCTTATAATCAGCGGCGGTTGTGTCCGCTTTCTAATCAGGCTCGTTATTGTCGCAATAACGGCCTGCCGCGGAATACAAATTCGCCGCTGCGCGCCGGAGAGCCGACCGCTGGGATTAAAACTTGCCCGGCGACCACGGACGCTATCGCGGTCGGAGCATAATTAACACTCTCGGTGGCAGGTCTGCTAACAAACGCCACCGCGATATTTAAGCGTCGCGCGGTCGTGTACTTAGTCCTAGCCTCCTAGCGGCGGCCCATGGCGGCGCATTCCGCCTTCCTGTCCTGCTTTGCCTTATTCACGAGCAAGGTGACTTCGTCATTCCGCGTCAAACTCTCCGTGGCCTCCCCTTCTGCTGCTGTTCCCCTCCCCCTACCGGCCGCAGATTCTCTCGTAGCGAGCTCACTTCCAGTTCGATCTCGATCGATCGGTGCAACAACGAGAGAAACAACCCGTTGTTTGTTGCGTTGCTTATGAGTTTCATCTACGAATCGCGTCATCGCGATCTAAGCCCCGGGAGACCCCACCTCGCGCGAAAGTCACGGGAAACGCGCCGTATTGTTCCAACGATGTTACAAGCTGCTAAGAGACGAAAGAGTTAATTACAACTTGCTCCAACTTGCGATGTTTAAACCGCGTGCTTTATCGCGGGTGTGATTCGTTATCAACGGCGACATTACTCGCGACAGGCTTTGCGGAGGGATGAAAAATGGAGGATAAGCACCCTCCTTTTCCCTCTCCCCCCTCTTCCCTCTCTCTTTCTCGCTGACCTTCCCAGGAATGTTGAATTTCCATCTAAAACTACAACGTCAGAGCATACCTGAAATTTAAGAAGTTAGAAAGCGCCTGAATTTTGCAAACCTTTTCTTTCGTTATTGCGCTGCGTTACTATGGAACAATCCTCCTCCTTCGATTCACGACCATTAATCGATTATGAATCTACAGAGCCTTGATTGTACTTTTTTATGGATTCCTTCGACTCTCATAGGTGAAGAATTTAGAGGACTCATTTTTATTCTATTCTTCCTGAACGATCTGGCAAAGTTGTCTAAGAGCTTCTTTTTAACTTTTTTTGGTCTTGGATCAATCTCTCTGTTACACACATTTCAATATTTATAATTACGTATTGTTATTACGATACGAACGTTAAATGTGAATTTACAATGTGAGAAACTGACTGTACTGCCTCTCGTCATCCATTTGGGATATAAATTTGTATTTAGTGCTCAATTTTTGTCTACTTGAGGAGACATATCCCAAAGTGCGTAATAATAAATAGTGCTCTTCCCCCCCCCCTCTTTCTCCTTCTCTTTCTCTCTCCGCGGCGGAAGACTCGTGTACCGACCAGCTGCTTTATTTTCGCGAGGCTTATTCGTCGACGCGGCTTTACACGCACACACATAGAAACGAACACATTCACACACGTCGGAATGACACTGACGATACGTGGTGTATCGAATAAAATAACACAGGCGAGGTCGTTTCGTGTCGTCGTCCGAGTTTGCCGAAACGCCACGATGCATTTTTCAATTGTTACCTCCCTCTTCCTTTCTCTCCCCCTTCGCTTTCCTTTCTGACGGAAACGGGACCGTCTGCTCTCGCGGCATCTCCGATGAAAGACGACGGCACGGCATTGTTAAATCCGATGCGCATGACACGAGGTCTCGTTCGGCACTCGCGCATTAGCGGATCATCTCGCAATAACTTCTTCCGCGGCGCAGCGAAATAATGATATTATCCCGGAACGACATTGTGCCAGTCGCGGTTCTCGCATGTCGTGGCTTGTATAAATATTCCACGGAATATGCCACCGCCGCAATATGTTAAGTACGCGAGTGGTACAATTGTGAAATCTACAGGATATGCGAGCGAGACCTGATGACAGAGGAGGGAGAGAGAGAGAGAGAGAGAGAGAGAGAAAGAGAGGTCGTCCCGAAAGAGCCAGATTCAATGGAATCGAAATCATGTTTTTCCCCCTTCGCGAAAAATCGTCAGCAGCCGAGGAAACTTCCCATGACGACTTTCCATCGCGCTTCGATTTCCGTCTCATTAAATATATTCCAGCGAGTGTCGCATCCATATTTGCGGGTTTAACGTCTGAGAGAGGTACGCGCTACCCTGGTGAACGATACTCCGAGGAAAGGATACTCGTAGAGGAAGTTTTAGCCTACCGTAATGTCATTAGAGAATGAAACTAATATAGCCTAATGAAACTAATATAGTGCATTATAGTTCGCCGCACGACGAAGATGTTTCGCCAAGATTGTGTTAACCGATAATGCTGTTATAGACACACACCGTGTGTCCGGAATATATTGTACGACGACTCCTTGCAAAATGTTATAACGTTTAATTGAATCGAACGGTCTCATACGTGTGCGCGTGTGCGTGTTTGCATCCGTGTGTCTGTGTAATTTAATCTGCAACACCGGCAACGCCGAGCCCCATTCGAGAGACTGTTATAACATTAAATCTAAAACGGTCGAAAGAGATCAAGCCGCGAATGCGAAACGCGACATGACAAAGATTGATAAAACAAGAAGCAACGGTCGGCTCGATGAAAGGGGGGAAAAAGGAACAAACATTGCGATATTTAATCCGCGCACGAGACATTTACAACTGTCTCGCGCGCTATTGTGCGCGCGCGCGCGGTTTGTATTTTAAACTACAATCGCCATTGTGTTATCTGCGAGGTAGTTTCTGCCGTGGGACGTAGGACGACGAGCTTTTCCAGTGGGCGATGCGTGTGGGCTTCGCCATCAATGGCGGATACCTGCCGATGATATGAATGCAGATAGGTACGAGTCTAAAGCGAGCAAAGCCGAGAGACCCCGCCGGCGCGGCGCGGCGCGGCGCAGCAGCCGCTGAGAGAGCTGCTGCGACAGCGGAGATACGGGTTTCTGCCGTTGTCACTCCGTTGTCGGGGTAATGAACTTTCTAATTACCAGAGGCGTCTGCGGATTCCGATTTGAATTTCGAGACAGCGTGTAACCGCGGAAATTATGGCGAAATTGTCGTGCGCCAGGACGCGCTCGCGCTACGATAACTTTCGGGGATTAATCCTCAAATATTTAAGGCGAAGTTACAACTACCCGACGTTGGCGCGACGCGTAATCCGTATTGTTAAATCTGAAATCCTATAATTACGAGCCACCTTCCGCGCGCACCCGTCGAAATTAGCGACGCCTCGGCGAGTCGGGCTCGATAAAAAATTTAACGCCGCGGATATTTATAGAGCTAGCTGAGAGATTACGCGGGGCATTTTGTGCGTGCGACATTCATGGTATCTGTCGCGTTTTCCGGCTAGCGAAAAATACGTCCCGCGTGGACATTAATAAGCTCCATATCCATCCTGTGGTTAACGTGATGCGCGATCGAGGCGGCTATTCGTTGACACTTTTATTTCGATTAACGCTATAAACCCGTTACTAATTATCATCGTTTCATATGCCACTCACGCGGCGGTAAAAATTCCGCGGCAATTTCGCGTAATTGTGAAACATTTTCGGAGAGAACGTTAATAACTTTCCTGGCGTCGGCGTGCATTCTAAACAAAAAAAGAAAAAAAGTCGATATACCCATTCAAGATTAACAATCTATCATCCAGCACCGAACCATCACCGGAGAATAAATCGCGCTTCAGCAGCGTGGTTTATAGGTTTTAACAATTTTCTCCTTCCGTGCGTATTTAGTTAAAATACCTAACGAGAACATAAGCCTGAACGTTAAACCACAATTCCCCCCAGATATATCATAAAGAAAGATAGATTATAATTTCCACAGCGCGATTTCTCCCATCTCGTTCCGATTCGCTCGCGAAAGCACTCCCGTAATGACATTAGCAGATCCTCTTTAAGGCGACAGATGCAATCGCAAAAATCGATCGGCAACATAGAGGAAGAAACGTTCGTCCATTGGAAGCGGGGCAGTCTCAGCTTTCGAGTGCAATTTGCCCCACGTCGCTACGACTTTCCTGCGCGGAAATATCGACGAGCGGCGAATCCTTTGACGGGGACCGGGGACCGAGGGGCCCGCCGACAATGTTGCGCCCCCCGCTCCTTTTCGGTCGAGCGCGCCGTCTCGGAGGCGTCAAATGCGCGGCATAAACGCACCGCCGCGCGATTCTTCGCGCCGCTCTGGCGTGCTTCGGACGACCGCACCTCGCCGAAAAATCGCCGTAGAAACGTGAAACAAACGCCATTCTCTTTGGAATTTTGCGCTGCGCGCGTTTTCACTGTGTGGCTTCGCGTATATACTTTTGTCACGACGCATGTTCACGTGCATAATCTCGACTCCAGGACACGCTGCGTACGTTATAATATATCGTTGTACGGACTTACGGAGAGAAACGGCAGAGTATTTTTAGACGCGGGAACAGAGAGCGTCGGTGGTTTGAAATCGCGCAGAGTACAAAGTTTCCTCGCATACGTCGCTCGATAAATCTCGCGCATGGGGCGGTTGGCGTCTTCCCCCCTGCCCCACTCCCCACGATGCGCGCGCGCGCGAGCGATTTCGTGATCTGTTACGTAACCGACGCGA